AAAGAGAGAAGGAGGTAGAAAAAAACGTCTGATAAAAAAGTTTAACTGGGAAAGCAAACAAGCCTGGAAGTTTTGCTGTTCGGACCGTCGTCGCCATAATGTTTGTTTCGTTTTGCGATGGTCATATAAAACCGGCCCCTCTTGCTGGCCTTTTTCTGGCCGGATATTTTTCTAGCAAGCTTAACTTGCTTCTCAAGCATATTATTTCTTTTGCAGAAATTTGTTTGCGAACATTTTTTGATCAAAAAAAAAATCTAATTTTTGTTCTTCCCCGGAAATCTTTACGTTCTGTGGGCTTATACTCATCTCACTGTGACTGACGCTGATTTCCCAGTAGTTTCTTCAGTCACTAGGATAACCGAATTCGCGGGTTTTTTTTTTTTTTTTGACGATCGGAAATTCCTTCAGAAAACGAGTGTAGTTTTTAAGTGGCGGGGGCATTTTAATTGTTGCATTTCTTCAAACAAGCGCATTTTAGGGATACAGCTGGCCAGGAACGCTTCCGAACAATTACCACTGCGTATTACCGAGGAGCCATGGTACATCACACATATTCATCATCACATTGGTTTTTTTATATAAACCAATACAGCTAATGCCCCATTCGATGGCCCTGCTGCCGAGCTTTAAAAAAGGAGATAGGAGAGGGGGGCTGTGGCCTTCTGCAGTTGAATATTTAGCTGGAATGCTGCCAGTTACTTTCTCTTCTCATCCCCACCAGAACAATAATTACTGGCACTGCATCCCTCCAACTGGTGCAGACTGGCCAAAGGCGAATGCTTGCCTCAGAAGCACAGGCCGGCGGCGCTCGTGGATTAATCGTTTTGTTTTTTTTTTTTTTTTTTGGCATTTTGTGTTACTCTGCACACGTATTTTAAAGGGTATTATGCTTGTTTATGATATAACCAATGAGAAATCGTTCGAAAACATCAAGAACTGGATCCGCAATATTGAGGAGCACGCCTCGTCCGATGTGGACCGCATGATCATTGGCAATAAGTGTGATGCCGAGGAAAGGCGACAGGTGTCCAGAGAGCGTGGCGAACAGGTAGGCATCATTTTTTTTTTCGCTTCTCTCTAATATTTCCCTCATCGTTTAGGAAACCATGTGGCGCTCGCTGAATTCCCTCTGCAGCTTTCTTTTTTCCTTCAAAATTGATTATGCTTAGATGGTTAGGCAGGGAAATAAATGAAGAGTGGTAAACGAAACTTACAGTGGGTCGGTGGTCCTTTTCCGAAACCGGCATTTCTTCTCAACAAGGACATCGCGGATTCTGCCGTCTAAGAGTCTAGCACGGTGCAGCGCCGCTACTCGCCGTAGTCTGCATGTTGACGTATCGCATACTGGCAACCACAGTAGAGCTGCAGGCTCTGATCATTTGGTCCCAAAGATAATTTCGGCTTTGGCTTTCTGTTCCGGCCCTCTGTTCTTTTACAGGCCCTTCTGGCCCGTACTAGCTTTTGTAGAGATTTCGTTGAGGTCTCAAACCGACCTATCGCTTCATCCGTCGCCAGCATTCTTCGTCCTACGCCTAAGTATTTGTAGTAGACCATTTTATGAGATGTTAGCGGTGAGTCGAATATTATTATTACCGTGTAAGAAAGTAAAATCTGATGCGTAGGGCATGTTTCTTAACTTGCTGACAGCGAATGAACTTTGTATGTGACATATTTGTGACTTATATCAAATGATTTATATCTACATGATTGCATGAGCTGGAAAATGCAGCGTCTGCACCTTGATTTCCTTGCATCAGAGCCTTTTTTTAAAAGAAATTATGTCTATCAGAGCTTTTTTTAAAAAAAATTTGCGATGGAGGATGGAGAAGCAGTTTGGCATAGCTGAGCCCAGCAAGTGTGAGAGCATTTCCGTAACATTGTTTACATGGGGCACTGAAATTTGGCCTTGAAACATGCGCATCCCTGCAAGGAAGGGATTAGCCTCTCATTTTGAATATTTGTCGAAAGCTAAATTATTATGATGTAAATATAACACAGGAAACGAAGTCAAACTAGCCAGTGACTGGTAGTGCAGTAAAGGTCAAGCAGCTACGCATGAAAGGTTATTCTGTTACCACAGTTGTCGAACTGACGAGGTCCAATTGTGGTAAGGGTAAGAAATATATACGATTTAATGGGCCGAAACATTTCTTACCTATTACAAATATTTCCTTAGTCCCTTTTCCCCTTCTTACTTTGCTTTTTCTTTGTTTTTCCCCTTCCTGATCTTTTCTTTTTCATTATTTTCTCTTCAATCTTTAATACGCTTAAAAGCGCGCTATAGTTTTTTTAACTAACATGAACAAAAAAATGGAGCTGAGAAATTGTTGCGCAGCAGCCACAAAATTTTTTTTTTTGGCTGTTACAGCTCGCCATTGAATATGGAACAAAATTTTTGGAAACCTCAGCAAAAGCGAATATTAACGTTGAGGAAGCGTTTTTTACGTTGGCACGTGATATCAAGCTGAAAACCGAACGTGCATCACAGCAGAACACCACCCAGAACAGTGGCCGAATAACGGTGCAGCAGACTCCGCGAAAAAGCACATCGTTCTTTTCCGGTTGGAGGTGCTCGTTGATTTAGGTTTCCAGTAACCTCATTTTCCTCTTTTACCCTCGTTTTTCTGTTGTTGTGTAACCGTAAAAAATGGAAAAGATAACGATGTTGAACACGCATTTTACTGTTTTTTTTTTTTTTTTTTTTTTTTTTTTTT